AAAAAAGGAAAGAAGAACATGTTTACTGTTGTGTAATATTTACCTAGCTCCATTTTTGTTGCCTGACCCTGACCCTAAATCTGACCCTAACCCTGACCCTAAACCTAACCCTAAACCTGACCCTGACCCTAAACCTAAACCTAACCCTGACCCTAAACTTAAATTTGACCCTAACCCTGACCCTGACCTTAACCCTAAACCTAACCATGACCCTTAAACCTAACCCTGACCCTAACCCTAAACTTAAACTCAAATTTAACCCTAACCCTAAATCTAACCCTAACCCTAAACCTAACCCTGACCCTAACCCTAAACTTAAACTCAAATTTAACCCTAACCCTAAATCTAAACCTAACCATAACCCTAAACCTAAACCTCATCACATACGTCTCCCCCTGCATGGCGGGCTGCCTGAGCTCCAGTGGGAGCGACAAGAACACGGTAGGAAACCCAACCCTCTAAAAACCCTCCCCAGACCCCCGTTAGGGTTTTGTGCAGAGGTTCAACAACACAAAAGTTTAAAAAAAGGAAAAAAATAAAATGTTTACTGTTGCTTAATATTTACCTAGCTCCATTTTTGTAGATTTTTGTAGCCTAAATCTGACCCTAACCTTAAATATGACCCTAAACCTGACCCTAACCCTAAATCTGACCCTAACCCTGACCCTAAACCTAAACGTAAACCTTACCCTAAGCCTGACCCTAACCCTAACCTTAACCCTAACCCTGACCCTAACCCTAACCCTGACACAAAACACAAAATATAGCTCTAAAAAGAAATAAAACAATCAGTAATCTGCATAGATCATGTGATAGCATGCTATGCTAAAGTGGGTGATTATAGCCAGATTCTAACCCTAACCCCCACCCTTAGAGCCCTGTGTTTTCTGTTCCAGGTGTTCCACAACTGACCCTAACCCTAACCCTAACCCTAAACTTAACCCTGACCCTAACCCTAAACCTAATCATGACCCTTAAACCTAACCACGACCCTAAACCTAACCATGACCCTAAACCTAACCCTAACACAAAACACAAAACACAAAACACAAAATATAGCTCTATAAGGAAACAAAACAATCAGTAATTAGCAAAGATCATGTGATAGCATAAGATGCTAAAGTGGGTGATTATAGCCAGATTCTAACCCTAACCCCCACCCTTAGACCCCTGTGTTTTCTGTTCCAGGTGTTCCACAACTGACCCTAACCCTGACCTTAACCCTAAACCTAACCCTAACCCTAAACCTAATCATGACCCTTAAACCTAACCATGACCCTAAACCTAACCCTAACCCTAACACAAAACACAAAACATAAAATATAGCTCTATAAGGAAACAAAACAATCAGTAATTAGCAAAGATCATGTGATAGCATACAATGCTAAAGTGGGTGATTATAGCCAGATTCTAACCCTAACCCCCACCCTTAGACCCCTTTGTTTTCTGTTTCCAGGTGTTCCACAACTGACCCTAACCCTGACCCTAACCCTGACACAAAACACAAAATCTAGTTCTATAAGGAAATAAAACAATCAGTAATTAGCATAGATCATGCTAATTACTGGCCCACAACTGACCCAATCAGTAATTAGCATAGATCATGCTAATTACTGGCCCACAACTGACCCAATCAGGCCCAATCAGTAATTAGCATGATCTATGCTAATTACTGATGGCATACGATGCTAAAGTGGGTAATCATAGCCGGATTCTAACCCTAACCCCCACCCTTAGACCCCTTTGTTTTCTGTCCCAGGTGTTCCATAACTGCAGCTGTGTGGGGAACTCGTTTCCTGTCGGGGGGGGCTCTGTGCGGCTGGAGCAGTGCCCCCCCCCCCGGGGATGCAGCCGCAGTTTTACCTCCTACATGGCCGTGTCCGTGCTCAGTTCCTTCATCAACTCCCTGGGGGCCACGCCCGGATACATGGTCATCATACGGTATGTGAAGCCTAACCCTAACCAGGTCCAGGCCTGACCACGAGATTAGAGGAGGAGTGGTACCCCGAATATGTAACTGGAGTAGATAAACAAGAGTAGATCTAGAGTACTGACCCCGAGATTAGAGGGGGAGTGGTACCCCGAATATTTAGCTAGAGGCCTGAGAATAAAGTAGATCCAGAGTACGAATACCCCGAATCTTTAGCTAGAGTAGATAAACAAGAGTAGATCTGGCATAGATTGGTCAAAGGTAGAAGGTAGGAGTCCCAGGGGAACCAGGACCAGAGGGTTCTGGGTTGGAGTCCCGGGGGAACCAGGACCAGAGGGTTCTGGGTTGGAGTCCCCGGGGGAACCAGGACCAGGCCTGACCCCGAGATTAGAGGGGGAGTGGTACCCCAAATATGTAGCTAGAGTAGATAAACAAGAGTAGATCTAGAGTACGAATGGTACCCCGAATATGTAGCTGGAGGCCTGATATCACAATCAGAAATAGTAAAGTAGATCCAGAGTACCAATATGGCGTTGATTGGTCAAAGGTAGAAGGTTCTGGGTTGGAGTCCCGGGTCCTGACCCCGAGATTAGAGGGGGAGTGGTACCCCGAATATTTAGCTAGAGTAGATAAACAAGAGTAGATCTAGAGTACGAAAATGACATAGATTGGTCAAAGGTAGAAGGTTGGAGTTCCGGGGGAACCAGGACCAGAGGGTTCTGGGTTGGAGTCCCGGGGGAACCAGGACCAGAGGGTTCTGGGTTGGAGTCCCGGGGGAACCAGGACCTGAGGGTTCTGGGTTATTATATATATTATATTATTTATTTTATCTCTATTTCAGGTGCATCTCACCAGATCTGAAGTCTCTGGCTCTGGGTATCCAGGCCTTGGCCACCAGGACTCTGGGTGAGTTTTATGTTTCTGTTTCCATTTCTGCTTTTTCACAGTGACTTAAAATCTGAGCTCTTCTGCTTTTTGGAAGATGGTCCAGAGGAGAAAAATCCATTTAGGCTGATTTCATATTTGAGAGTTTTCTCCATTTTCTCCATAAAAAGTATTGAAATGATTTAAAAGAATAATCAATATTTTACATTTATTTCAGTCTCTTTTGCTTAATCGAATGTTATTTTTTTTATTTATATGTTTATTTAAAACACAGATGTCTTCTTATTGTATCATTTAACATTAAACCCATCCCTTTAATTTATTTAAATTCCATTTTTAATTTCTTTATTTCTTATTTAGTTGGTCTTTACTTTATTCTAGTAATTGTAGTTTTATTTTGTTTAATTCGTTTTGACTTATTTAATCTTGTTAAATTTGATTTAATTTTAATTTAATTTTCATCAAGTTTGACTTAGACTCAATTTAATTTAGTTAGATTTAATTGGATCTTCTTAATTAATTTTATTGAATTAGCTTTGCTTTATTATATTTCATTGAGTTTTATTAACTTAACTAAATAAAGATTTCTTAACCATTTTTAACTTTTTAGTAGTGTTTTAGTGGCCTCAGACAGCCTTTAGTGGACTCATATGTTTATTTGAACTTAATGTGACCCATGAGGTTGTTGTTTTGGGGGAGTTTTAAGAGGTGTCCCATCATCCTCGTTATTTCCAGAAGGCTTCCTGGTGATTTCTTCTTTGCTGGTTTTGTGTATAAAGTCATTTCTGGGCTCCGGCTGACTGATGCTTTGTGTGCAGGTGGGATTCCTGCGCCGGTTTATTTCGGAGCCCTGATCGACTCGACCTGTTTGAAATGGTCGGTTAAAAAGTGCGGGGGCCGGGGGGCATGCCGCATATACGACTCCGACATGTACAGGTACATTTCATCCAAAGACTCACAAAAAGAGGCTTTAACCATAAACTACAACACAGATGAGAAGAGTCTAGGTTAGCCCTGTTAGCTACAGAAACCAGATAATTACATAATAATAACAAAAGACCCAAAAATAACAGAAAAGACACACAAATAACAAAAAAGAGACATTAAATAA